ATCATCAAAATCTCTTCTCGCGATCAACAGGGTCTGATGCTCTCTAAAAGGCTCCTGTACTGGCAAAGGTAGTCCACAGGACTCATCAAGAGCTTCTGCAAAGAGCCTTATCAAGGCTCCTGCTGGGAGGCCTATTCGTTCATGTCCCACAAATGTACGCTTGATGTCTCCATAACTAAATGATGCTACTCCCTGCATCGGATGGTTGCAGACGTGCTCAAACCCAAGGAGCGCACACAGTGTATTAGGCGTACATCCGGGCGGGCAGTGAACAGCAACATGCTCCATGATTCCAGATAGCTCCAGCTGTATCACCAGAGGTAAGGAATCTTCTGCAGCTGTCTCATCGGTCAAGGCAACAACAACGACATCGTGTTCGTTTCGGCCGTTTCCTGCAATCTCAGTCATAGTTGGCTGTGGGAAGACAAATACAAAATGCACAGCAAGGACACCTTCGTCTTCAAAAGGCGAGATCAACTGAGTGGCCCACAGACCTGTCCTCCTCATCCAGATCGTGAATGGCTCACCTTGCAGCTGCCCATACCGAAGGAAGCTCCAGCCCATAATCTTTTTCTCCCAGATGCCATTTTCTCTAGATCTGAAGTGCTCGTACACAACATCAACTCCCAATTCTTGCCAAGCCTGCGTCAACTCCCTACGTGTGAGACGTAGCGTTTTAATGTATGGCAGGCCCCGTTCACATGCTACTGCAAAAGGCACAAAAGATGCCGTCGCAACTGTTCGCTGCATAAAGCAAGTAGCATCATCATTGTCGCCTGTCTGTCCCATCAAACTGGAGCTTTGGCCAGAATAAAGAGGAGTTGCAGTGTTTTCTCCTGACATGGCCTCAAAAGGTCCAGGCCACTGTCCGCTCATCTGCACATGGTGTGTGTCTGAACCTAGACTTGATGCATCACTTGAAGCCGAAGACGCAGTATATAGTCCCTCCGATGTGCCAACACTGGTCCCATCAGGGTCAGCAATCGGCACAAAAACCTGTTGGTGCGGAGGTATCCTTTCCAGGAAAGTGATGGCGATTCCAGAATACAATGGCACAATTTGCTCCCAGTTGTATACTCTTCGTCCAATGATTATGCTACATTCAGACACCCAGACGCATTGGACATGCGGCAGTCGTGCAGCAAAAAGCTCATGGACAAAAGGAAATCGGGGAACCATGTACATAAATGTGCCTTGCCAGTTCTCTGACAGTATGTCCACAGTAGCTAGGACCCCTATCCAGCTTTCAGGGCAAACAGTGAGCAGAAGAAAAGTTACTTCATGCTCCACAGGGCGAACTGGAACAAGTTGTGCTTGTGGCCTGACCTGGAAATCTCGCCATTGGCCGACGATCTGCGGCCGGACTTGTCGGTTCAAAGCAATCTCGTGCCTTCTATATGTAGAAGATCACATCTCTCTTCGGTCCCACGTGTGTAGCCAGACAGTAACAACCGTCCGAGCCACTCCAAGGCTCTCCAGTACAAAATCCAGAGCCGGATCAAGCACATATGGGGTCACAGAATTCTGCATCAAACTATTCAAATCCTCCATGGTGGGCTCGTGATCTTGCTCGGTCCATGTTCGGACATGCAGATGGCAAAACTCACCACTAACCTTTGGCAAAGTCTTTTCGCGAAATGAAACAAAATGCTCTCTATGCCTAATCACATCGGTCCTTAGGAGCGATCGAATTGGGTCGAGCCTCGAGAGCATACATGAATGATACGACAAGGTCGCATCCGATGAGGACTCTCCTACCTGTTTCACAATCAAAACAGGCCAGTCCCATGGTCTAGAAAACTTGTAGACTAGGTAATGCAACTGGTCATGATCAAAATCATACTCGGTAGGTTGCGGCCTCACAATGACATACTCACAAAAGGCATCGTCACATTGGTCCTTCCATAGCTCTGTGAAAAGCGGTTGCAATTCAACTAGATCAGTACGTGGAAGGAAAGTATGTCTTGGCGCCATTGAACATGATGATCGTCCGGCAAACCAGACCTGCACTTTCTGACACCCTGGCCATCTTTGAGAATGTTCATTGCAAGCGGGGCAGGAGGGCAGCCGCACTTGAACCGATCTTTGGACAAAGCTAATCTCCTGCTCTTGGAAATCGACGATACAATTTCGGGAGGCCCCACAAACAGGCATCTGAGTATTTGTTACGTCAAGAGCCCCAAAAAGTGGGAAAAATTCATGCACAGCACAGAGCTCGTACTGGTTGTCGAGTCGTGCACGGAGGCAAAAAGGGGGCTCCACCTGCCCATCTGGCAGCTCGGAAAGGGGACATGTTTGCCTTTTTCCGCAAAACAGGGAGAAATCCTTCCAGCTCCGGGGACTTGAGGACCGATCATCAACGGTCGCATACGAAGTCAGCTCGTCAAGTCTACCTGGCTGCTTCTTCCCTTTACTGGCCTCAGAGAGGCCCGATTCTAGCTTTTGTCCATGCGAATGCTCTATGATGGAGATGCCCTCAGCTCCTCCAAGGAGTAGGAGGAAAAAGGCTACAGTCCATCTCCGTTTCTTACAGGGTCTCTCATGGCTAGGTTGTCTGGAGCCCCCAACAAAACTGCTGCGTCCTGGCAAAGGTCTTGGAAAAGCTCGTTCCTCGCGAAACCTCCCAACGATGCCAAGTAAAGCACAGCATAAAGCGAAAAGATTCACATAGAAAGTGCCTAGTAAGATTTGGACTCCACCGAAGCTGCGAAACCCCTGCTCATCATCACCAGCCAGCTCCAGGATAAAACCATTGCAAAGGACAGTCAAAACCTGCCAAAGAATGAATCCCGCATATCCAGAAGCATGAGGCCAGATATATAGGCACTTCCTGACTCGTCGTGAGGCCATCAAATTGTGCACTACATCCGGAAATGCACAAGAGGCCCGATTGGCAAAGAATATCCAACATAGGATGAAAAGGCTTATACCCCAACTCTGCAGCACATAGGGGAAAATATCAGCATTCCACTCACGTGGGAGCCAACAAGCAGCAGAAACAAGGCTTGCTTTCCATTCTTCATAAATTTTGAAGCATCCCTCCGCACCATATCCATAGAGTTCAGCTCGGTAACATCCAAAAGCCGCAGTCTCATCAAAGGCCGTCCACTGTACGAAATAGCACAGGCCAGCTGATAAGAGCAACGAAAGCAAGGTGTAGGCTTCAAATGGCCATACACCGGGGCTTACCACACAACCAGAAAATCCGATATTGGGTAAGACACTAGAAAAAGAAACCTCCAAACTTAGTGTACCAAGGAGCGAAAAGCAGCCTTCAAACATGGCGCTATACATGCCTCCTCTGGTTGAAGACACTAGGACATCAAGTCCATGTTGACTCTCGAACCACCATCCGGGGTCTTGGCGTTCTCCTTTTCTGACCGGGTTGGAGTAGTGTACGGCCCCATCTTGTCCTTCCCGTTGAAGCGCCGGAAAGGGCGACAAGGATGCTCCAGCGCAATAGGAAGGTCTGACCCTGCTTCCTTTAGGCTTGTACCATTGAGGCAAGGTGCAAATGTTCCACCTTCTGCTTTGCCTTCTTCCAGTGGCATATTCGCCATCCGAGGCACAGGAGCTGCAATTTCCTGCTTTGGCTGCAGCTTCTGTATCAGCGCAAGAGCCGACTCCCATGTCACATAGTTCGCAGGATTTGTGGTGATCGCCTGCAATACTCTCTGCTGGTCTCTCTCCGTGAGCACAGACATTTCCTCTTCCAAGTCCTCGTACTTGTATTGAAGCTCGGCTTGTGGTTCTAGATGCCTGGATCTTTTGGAAGGAGTTCGAGACCGTCCTCTCTTCCTCTCTGGGCTGTAGCTCTTGGACTCCTCCTTGATCTGCATCCCAATTGTCTTGGGTATCTTGACTTCTTGCTTTGGAGATGAGTTGGGAATGTCTCCTACAAGGGATGACCCCTGTATCGCACCAATGAGCTGTGACATTTGCGCCTGCATCGCATCGAACATCTGCGCATTGCGCACCTCCAGCTGAGTGGTGTACTCCGCATACTCTTGGAAACGACTTTTGATCTGTCTCAACTCCTGTTTGAGCTTGTTGGTCTCTTGACGTTGCTCTTCCCCATCGGAATCGATCACCAACATCTCGGGGTCCGACTCTCCATCTTTCGTTTTCTCGAGCCGTTTCAATTCCTCCTGCAGCTCTGCCATCGCACCAGAATAGCGCTTTTCTTCCTTTCGCACTCCTTCGGAGATTGAGTCTTTCCAAGACCGGAAGTCCACCTCTTTCTGTGCCATGTCTTCCTTCACTTTGCAAAGCCTGTTGAGGGCCTTTCTCTCGGCATTCAACTCCTTCTGCTTGGCCTTCAGCTGCTCTCGAGGGTCTTCTTTGACTAAGTCGATCACCTCCTTCGGGACGTCTTTCACCGTATCTTTCTGCATCAAATTTCGCATAGTTTCTTTGAGCTTTTGGTTCTCCTCCTTCAGCTGTGCTTCCTGCGACCCAGCATACCATCCATGCGAGGATGAACCACTTTCTCCTTCGAACTCGATGCGGCGACCATCGTACCCGACCATGAACACCTTGCCATCCTTTGTGTTCTTGGTGTCTTTCTTTCGGCCCTTCGGAACACTCCATTGGGACTGATCCCAAAACCAATCCTTTCCCTTTTTCCATGGCATCCTAATTGTGTATCGTCGCGAGAAACTATAGGTCGGTGCAGAATGATGGTTTTGCAGCAGATGCACCGCTTTTCGAACTCGCAGAAGCTGCTGGTGGGTCCACACCTTCTTCCAGCGCAGGGAATGGATGGTGTTCCGAGCTCGGCTTCTTCTCTTCCTCGCCCTTCTGTGCCAACCAGGGGAACCAGGTATGGCTGCGACAGCGAGTGAAAGAAAAACGTGCAATGCACGATTGGGGCACTAACTCTTCCACTAGGTGGCTATGTTTGAGCCCTGCGTCCTTGCTCCTAGTAATAAACCTGCTTCTATTTGAACTCTGATGAATCATCAAACCTGATCATTAAATCTGATTCAAACGAAACTGAGGGCAAGGGCATCTCGAAGTGGTGCAATGGCGACTTGGAGGAGTTTTTGGCCTCCAAGGTTTGATGTGGACAATATGCAGTGTGGTCTTCGAATTTGATTTGACCGAGGTTACTTGAACATCAAGTTCCAGTCGACCTCCAAACCAAGGACAGCGCAAAATGGATGTTTGGTGAAAATGCGAAGGAGGAACTGACGAAAGGAACCGAAAATCACTGTGAAGGCACGCATAGGGCACCGAAGGCATCTTGGGTGCAACAAACCGCAGGACGAGACCACACCGTTTCAGCTTGCAGCTTGGGGTGGACATGTGCACGTTTGCCAGTGGTTGCTTTTGCAAAAGGCGTGGAATTGAGTCGGACTCATTTGTTGTCATAGACCTCTGAAACGTTTGAGTCTGGGATCATCCCGCAGAATAGATTCCACCGTGGTGCTTTGTGAGCTTCACCTCTGGAATCCGGTTCTTCTTGTTGAAAGCGACAAGGCAATTGAGGATCAGAAGTGTGTTTTTTTTGTCGCAAGGATCCTTTTGGAATGCAAAGTTCAGGCCAACCTGAATCATCGCAATTCTTGGTATTGCTTGGCCCATCACTTCGCAGCCTTAGCAGGAGCAGTTTTGAAACGGGTGTGAAGGTCAAGTTGAAAGGGTGTGTGTTTCAAACGGATGTTCCCAAACCGGTGGAGTCACTGGTTTGAAGGAATGACTGAATGCTGCAAATGGCTTCAAGAGCAGCGGGTTGACCTGGGTGCCACCAACAACCAAGGCCAGAAATAGTGACAAGAAGTAAGACTTGTAAAGAGCATGAAAGGCTGTTTGCTTAGAAAAGAAAGAAAGACCTTAAGAAAAGAGCAGAAAAGAAATCAAACTTGTCTTTCTGAAGCAAAGGGTAAGGCCTCCTTCAAAGGAAGCTTAGTATTCTGCGATTCGATTTTTTGAGGCCACAATGCTTTGCACAAAGCTGCATACGGTGGCCACGCAGAGCTTTGCAAGTGGCTCCAGGTGCTTCATGGAAGCTGTTGCAAGTGGAAGTCTCATTTCTTGTTTGAACGCTCTTATCCCAAGTTTTGCACATTTCAGCCGTGCATGTAAACAGCTCATTTATAAGCTAGACACCTCCGCGCGAAGATTTCTGAGCTGAAGGACGAGGCAACTTTAGATCCTGAACAGCCAGATGCCAGGCGAAAGGAATTAGAGCTTGTCTTCCCTCATCCCTTTGGAGCTGAATTTATCTGGAAGACGTTAAGAGTTAGGAACGAAAAGGAGGACGCTACTAGGAACAAAGAGCATCGCTACTAATAGCAAGGACGCTACTAATAGCTCCAAGAAGCTACTAGGAGCAAGAGCTACGGGAGAAAACAGAAGGTGCTGTGATGAAGATCCATTGCTTGATCTGCTGCCAGGGGCCAAAGCTGCTTTGCATTGGCAAGGAAGGCTGGATTCCAGGCACGGATGGAAAAGCCGTCATTTTATCAGCACAAGAAACCTCAATTCTGCATGCAGGATTTGATTGATCAAGGATGGCTTCGCAAAAATTTACAAATAATATAAGATAAATGCATCGAAGTGGATACAGTTTTGGTACTTTGCCGTGCGATCGCATGGGTGGATAGGCTTGTGCACAGATGTGCGAGTCTTTGCGAGAAACTGAACAATCATTTGTGTTGGATGGCAAGACCACATCGATACTTTTTCCATCCAAGTGGTTTGTTACTTTATTGAAAAGTGAACTTGCTTTGGTAGTGTGACTGTTCTTGGCACCGTGTCTTCCACTGGGACGCGAGGGAACAGGGCAAAAGGTTGCTGTCACGGATGATAAAGTTGGGGTTTCCTACGGGAGCATAGAAGAAGAGGCCACGGAGTCGTTTGAAGAAATTTGAGCTTCCGTGTTGAACTCGTGGTATTTTAAACTAACAGCATCCTCACCATCGCATAGCATGGTGACACAGAGCTCTTCACTTCTCTTTCTTGTAGGGATGCTGTCCGCAGGTATCCGAATACCATATGAAGCGCTGTCAAGCATACTACCTAAGTTTCTGTTGTGCCATCCAGGGTGATCGCATGCACGAGTTTTTTTGCAGGCGAAATGATGCCATCTGGATTACACGTCAGCAGCGTCCCACTGTGTATGCACGAGTGCTGTTGATTAGTGCCCAACTTGATACTAGCCGCGTATGTTGTTTCTTACCAATAGGAATAATATTTTTGAATGTGATTCGATAGTTTTTAGACAAATTATAGATTTCAAGAAATCAATATGTGGCATTCCATGGCCATGTTCCTTTACCAGCTCATGAACAGAGAACCTCAGCTTTTTCTTTGATGATTCCCATTGATGTGACCACAAATAGACAAAGTGACGCTAAGTCAGACAGGAAAGACATATGTTGTACCTGCAATCAAAACTAACACCGGATTGCAGAGAACAGGATATGTCAGCAATTTTTTGCACTGAACCCTTGAATCAGATTGCCAAAGTTTGACCCATCCAGCTTGACACCTGCGATTGTTGTCTTCAGCCATTGCTGCTCAACCTGCACAAGATCAAGCCACCTAACTAGGCTCGCAAACAAGTTCAGATTTTGCTTGATACTTGTGTTTATTCAGTGTATACACAAGTAATGGGTTACAACAGGAGGAGCCAGGCTCTTGCAGGGAAGCCACCAGCATCCAAGTCTTGCCTGCTCCAATGTGGTGCTGGAGCAGATCTAGCTCAATATTGGGTTCAAGCATGGGCACTTTGCATCGATGGTGGGTCTCTTTCTCCATTTCCACGCGAGATTGACAGTCTGTGTTTCATGATGTTGCATAATTCCGAACCAAGAAATGGGAACAGCAACTCACTTCTGACTATCAAACGCTTTGGCGTGCCAAGTGGCCTGGAACTTGGCGGCTTGGATCAGAAAGGAACATGACAGACATCAAACTGATGTCCCTTCATTGACATCCAAGGGTTGCGAAGGCTCATGTTTTGACCCGCAAAAATTCCTAGTCAAGGTGGGCTCACAAGAGGTTCAAGCAGGTTCCGGACTGCTTGCCGCGAGGACCAGAAAGGATCACAGCCATTTCTGGCAGAGACTGAAGGGTCAGTTTGGCAACAAGACCGTGAGAGAAGCATGATCATCCTCCCTTCGTTTATACTGACGTGAAAGTTGTAGTATTTCGCAGGGTGTTCTGTAGTTGCCGACAAGTCTTTTTGCAAGCAAGCATATTGCATCCCCATCCTGGCACTGTCATTCTCATGTCTCTTTGAAACTACGTGCCTTGAAACCACCAGACAATCTCAAAGAACAAGACTGGAAGCAGATTTTCCTTTTGAAGGTTGCCATTATTGAAGTTCTCCGCATCCAAGGGCATGGGTCGAATGTTCATCAATCTCCACGAAAACCGTCCAACCCAAGTAAGTGTGGGTCTTTCTGAGGTACCGCACCAATTGGGCTGCAGGGCTGCCTGGCAAAATGGAAGTGCTTGGAAATGCATTTCTAGGAGGACCTCTCACAAAGAACCAAGGCACCACGGTACTTTCGATGATATGCCATGCATGGAGCACACGGGGATGTTATCTTGTTGCCTGATGAGTGTGTCCGTTGCTTTCGCATTCAAGAAATGCACTGGTTTCCTTTGCTCGAGTTTTTGGGGCATATTTTGTTGATAATGCTTGCGCTCTCAAACAGACTCGTCTAAACGTTGGTTTTGACATACCTATGCCAGGGCTTCACTCGGATTGCGAGAGGGTCTTACAAATGAATCATTGTCCATCCATCCTTTTCAATGATTATCTATCTCTACACTTTGACGTGCTTCTCAGTTGGAGTCTGGGGTTATCGACACCAAGGCTTTTGAGCCCAACAAGGTCATGAAGGTGCCATTTGCAGACCGATCGTCGTACGTTCTTTTGACGGTTTGGGACCGTTGAAATACTTCAGGTCCGGTTTCAAGTTACAACAGACTAAAACTTCCGTGATCGATTGGCAACTGCTCGAGCTCTAATTTCTTGACAATAGTGTTAGAGCGCAGAGCGCACAAAGTGCTCATAGCTTGCCTCACGCTTGCGTCACTCCAATCCTTTGCCATGACCACACTCTTTGCCTGGTTCCTGGCTCTTTGCTTGGCTCATGGGGCAATTGCGGATGAGAACATTCCGGAGGCACTTGATGCTGATGATCAGTGCACTTTGCCGGGCTGCGCAGTGAATGCGCTTCAGCTCCATGTGAGGGGCCCTGTGGAGCCTGTGGGGCTGCTGTCCCTGAATGCGACAGAGGAGGAGCTGATGGAATGGCACCAAGACTACTATGGACACAAGCCGCGCGCGGACATTTCGGTCGCCAACTACAAGAGCCTCATGCAAAACATCAGCGTTCAGCAGAAGGCGATCTTGGCTCTTTGGAATAGAAGTGTGAAGCTCGAAGAAGAAGTTCATGCATTGGTGCAGCAGGTCCAGCACGATTCAGGACTAAAGGTTGCAGATTACATAGCGCTTGTGGAAGATGCTGATATGCCCTCACGAGAGCAAGCCCAAGAGAATCAGCCAAGAGAAGCCCACGTAAAAAAGTGGATAAGATACTTGCCAGATGTTCAATTGTTTTCAATTGTTCCCATTACTATTTGGGATGTTGATCCAATATTTATCAGGGGGGTGCAACCACCAACCAGCTGAGTATTGCTGTGCCTTGACTTCCCAGTATCTGTTCTGGGCAGCTTGAGTCAGTCGAATGTTGCTTATACTATTCAAGGTGTGGCATTGTCCTGTTTAACGGAGGCAACTATAACTACGATTCCTATGATTCCTTTTTTTTCGTTTTGATTCTGCTCAGGCTACATGGATCAGGAGATGGGTGCCGTTTTCAGGAAGTTGAACTCGAATGGCCAACAGGTAGCTGCCGCCGGAACTCTGATGAGCAAGAATCCGATTCCACTGAAGCTGCAGAAGCACCCTGTCACAATATGTGTCCGCTTTTTCTTTAAAGTGTAGATCATAGATGAGAATGCACCCAGGTCCATGTCCTTTTTCTTGCATGAGAATGCACCCTTTTTCAGCAGTTTACTCCTCAGCCGACGAAGGCAAACAATGGACTCTTTGCTTCAGACGGATCCTACAATGCCAGGAGATCACATCGGCATAGGCGATGAGCTTTGGAGAAGTGTCATGGAGATCATCACCAATATCCACACAGCCAACAAGTCACCCGAAAAAACAAGTCCAAGAGAGGAAGAAAAGAAGGTAAGGGCCCCTTTTAATGGGGCTTAGTGGCTCACCTTCTTTTTTTCCTAGGTTTCACATGCAGATCTCTCCTTCCGTTTTTAAGAAATATCAAAGCGGGGTTGCGCCATAGTGTTGAAGCTGGTGAAGTTGCTGTCGCTCGAAGGTCAGCCAACGACCTCAAGGATCACATCCAAAAGGTCAATAAGATGATTGTTGACTTCAACGAAGGAAAGCTGATTCCCAATGAGGGCATGGATGGCACTGGCAAGTGACATCTTGCGGTGTAGAAACTGCAGTTTTCGCTTCACCTGCCAAGACTCGAAGCCAGAGTGATCAAGTCAGGATAACCTGTCAATGGAATGGGCATTCCTGGAAGTTGGTCAAGGGTTGGAGGCTAGAACAACATAGTCTCGAGAAGCAAAAAGAGAGTGAAAACAGTTTTGAGAAGAGGAAAGAAACAAAACAACAAACAGATGGTAAAATAGCTTGAATCTGACTGCCCAATGAAGCCCTTTGCAGGCTTTATAGTGCAAATACGGCTTGTGATATTGTAGGGGTCAATGACCAAGATCCAGTGAACAATCGTCCATGAAACGAACCATTCGCCAGGTGGCGCGACCTTGATGAAGTCGGTTGTGGAGTTTGGGACTTGTTATTTTTGTATTGATTTATTTTGAAATTGCATTTTTGCAATTTGCTCACGAACGAGCTTTTAGCACGTTTAGGTCTCACTCTTGAGTGCTGCTTTTGTTTAGTTGGATTATTAAACAAAGTTTCGAAGAAAGAGAGCATTCTAACCATATGCATGAATTTATATGAATCATTAGTAAAAGTGATTATGGTATGGGTATTTTAATTTGTAATGTTTTGATTCTGGTTTCAATTACGAAAGGTAATTGATAAATTAATTTGGATTGGTCGAATTATATTTTTTAATATTAATATATTTATTCGATATAATATATTTTTTCGATTTTATATTAAAAGAAATTGTGAAAACACGGAAGGTATGGAGTGTCGTATTTTGTTCGGTCGAATCGTTCGAAGTGTTCGACGGCAATCGAGTTGAAGAAACGTTTCTTTCTCTTATTTACATAACTTGTTATATAGAAAGCTTAAGAGGGCCCGCCTCCTTTTGGGGATTCGATCGGAGTGATAGCGGATATTTCGTGTTAAAAGTTACGGGAGCTACGAATTAATATGTTTTGAGGCTCGAAACTCCTATCGGGGATTATTTATAGATATTTTTATTTTAGGAAAGCTTCGATGGCGCAAAATGCGTAGGCATCTTTAATTTTTTAGTTGATTTTTGTTAGTTGAAATTAATTTTTGATATTCTAGGGAGTTATGGAATGATTTTTTTTTTGGTCGTTTATACGACCTTTGGCGTGTAATTATTTTTAATTTTATTTATTTTTTTTTTTTACAAATTGGACTTGTGCAAATCTTCTTCTGTTTCGATGACGGGCTTTTTTAGATTTATTTTTTTTTTTTGCGCCGTGTATTGCGCTTGGAGTTCGAAGAGTTTCGTTTTTTGATTTTTGGTCATGTTTTGGAGTCGTATATTTTTATCTCGGAAGAGGCGAATTATCTTTTTTATTTTTGTGTCGATTTGGGTTCCGATTTGGGAAGAGCTCGAAATGGTATTTAATGATATAGAGATTTTGAAATACCGTTAAATGAATATATTAAAGATGATGATATAGAGCATTAAGGTTACCTTAGGTAAAAGGAGGAATGTTAAAATGTCTTTAATCGCTATGGCTTTTATACTAATTATTTATGAAGTGAGAATTGTAAATGTTAATTGTTGTTTCGTATTGTTAGTTTTGGAGTTTGTTTGTTTTTTAGCTTGCGATTTTTTCTTCGCCGCTTGGAAGATTATATTCGATTGGAGGGAAAGGTAATGAGATCGTAACCGATCTGCAATTAATTGTCTTGTATTGTGCTTGGTGATTTTGTCGGTTATTTGGGCTTCCGACGATACTTACTTTAGGCGGGTCTTCGTTCTTATCATTTTCTGCTTTGTCACCATGACTTCGATCTTGGTGCGCTTGTCGCTTGGAGGCTAGGTATCTTAGCCTTCAAGGAGTCGTGCAGAGCTTTGGCGTCCACAACCAATGCCGATGCCATCTTAGGAACAAAGTTGTCCACTTGGCGGAGCTGAAAGTCATAGCGGATACAGTTTTCCTAGAAAATTAAGAAACATTCCAAAGTATCCATCATTGCAGACGAGGATTGACTTTCGGCATTGAGGGAGGATCGGCTGATCCGAGGCAGCTTGAAGCTGCGCCAGTCCAGAATGATGTAATCTTGGATGGAGCCATCTTCCATTGCTTGCTCGTTGCAGAGAAAAATCAAGTAACCGCCCTGTGCCTCATTATTTCCGCGCACTCCCCAAATTGCGTCGCTTATTGCGACCATGCACAACTTTTCCATATCGCCTACAAGATCTCGAAAGATTAATGTTGTGTCGCCGTTGGACTTGGCGAACCTGAGAACTTTGTTGGCCTGGGACGCTGTTTCGCCAATTGCTGTGGTGACGTCTCTACATAGCAAGGACACCGAAGCACTGAGGTGTGCAGATGTCTGTGTAGTTGGCCATTGAAGTGCTTCCAACAAAGCTCGAAGACAGCTCTGCTCTTTGGAATTGAGGTTGCGATTGGAGTCATAGTCGGTGTATGTCATCGGTTTCACTCCTTTGAGGTATTCAGCCTGATATAGCTTGAATTCCATGATTATTCGATTGAGGTGGCAATCGCAAAACTCCAGAGGCTTGTCCTCGGTCTCCTCAGTCCAGTGCTTGAGGTTGAAGGCATCTTTTATACTCAGGGTGGCCATCTTTTCCATAACCTAGTAGGTTATCAACATGTAGACCAACCAGGGAAATCAATTGCTTGTTGGAGTCGTGGAAGGTGTGGAGGCATTGATCTAAGGCATGAGCTCTGAAGCCAAGGTTCTCCAAACGTCTGCGGGCGACAATGAATCATTGTTTTGGAGTGTCAGCTTGGCTATATATTGGCTTGATCAACCATCAAGGTTCCAGGAGCCATATCGATGATCTCGAGGCATCCTTTGGGATCTTGGCCCACAAGGCCCCTTCTTGAGGATCTCCTTGGAGAAAAGTTGTGGACACATCAGCCGTCCATCTTTCCCAATGATTGATCTGGCTGATTGCCAGGAGCACTTGTCTTTAGGTTCGTGCCAAAGTCGGGGACGATGTGTCAAGTGATCCTTGAAGAAGGTCAGGATCGGAGAATCCTTGGAGTACGAGTCTGGTTTTTGCTTTCAGGCCGCCTTTTCCATCCGCCATTTTAGGGCAAAGCGAGCTTTCATCACCCTGTTGTGGTCAACTGAGGTGGCGTCCATCTCAATTTCCCAGACATCATTTTCCAAGATGCTGGTCTGTTCGGCTCTTTGCCCTCAAGGAAGGCGAGCCTGTCCTCCAAGGTCATGTGACGCTCGCTGAGATCAGCACTTTCCTCCACATTCTTCTTCTTGGGATTCCCGCTCCGACCGCTTGCGATCTCGTTGCAGAAGGTGAACAGCACGCTAAGCCGCATTTCGTGTTGTGTGATACGGCACTCAGACAGGCAAAAAGTCAAAATTTGTCACAAAAAGGAACATTCGAAATTCGTTCATCTCTCTCTTCTCACACACGGCTTTCGTACACACTCACATGTTCGCAGGCACCGCGCTGTGTGGGATGCATTCTTTGCATTTCGTCGAAATGATGATTATAGTGTAGTCCGGTGTGTTGCATTCGGTCACGAACTTCGCCGTCACGAAATCGTTGTTTACTGCCCAAATCATCACTGAGGCTGCTCAAAGTAGGTGAATCTTTCTGCAGATTCTTACTGACCCTGGCATTCGCTTTGGCTCCAGCAGCTGTTGATTTCCGCCTTTGCAAGAATCGAGCGGGCACGATCTCCTCAGGACTGGCCTCACTCATGGTTACTGCACGGGCTGAATTCTCGATCCAGACCATCAAAGCAGCGTCCTTTGCCTTTCACTTGCATTGAGTTTCTGCTCCGAAAAGGCTTCAGCCATGGGGTCTTCATTTTGTATCAAAGGCTCAGTCATATCCAGGAAACACTGGAAAGAGTGATCATTTTGCTTGACTGGAGGTAATCCGTCAAGTTGCCTTGCCATGTTGCACGATCGGAACGCCATCGCCCGACTCATCGGACTGCGGAATCGACCATCTGCCCGTTCTGTCCCTTCATGAGGAGGTTCATATCTGGCTTTTCCATTTTGACTGGCCTCTCCTCATCCTGTGATGCGTCGTTATGCATTCGCTTTTTCACTTCAGTCATTTCTTCATCCTGGGGTTCGTTAGTCCTGTCGCTTCTGCAGCTGCCAGATGTGGTTCGGTCACCATCTGCTGCTGCTGTGGTTCATGTGGCTGCTGCTGTTCTGTATCCGCTGCAGCTGCTGCCCCTTCATCTTCATCTTTGGGTGCGTCTTGCTGCAAGGCTTCAACTGCGTCTCCATCGGTTTTCTTTGGCTCATCTGCTTCATTCTTGTCAGCCGTTGCGTCAGCAAAAGCTGGGTCGCCAAAGAGATCTAAAAATCTGACAGGACCACGGACTGGATGCAACGCTTGACGCAATGTGGTCTCAACTGAGGCAGTACATGCAGTATGCGGAATGTGTTGCAATCTTGCATGACATTCACGAGGTGTTTCTGCTCGAAGGTGTTCTGGTGCAAAGCGAACCAGAGCTGATCCATGGGCAATCCAAGAAACTGTGGGCTGAGGTCCCGTAGTGGTGTCATCTCGCGGTCGGTTGCACCGCACAAACGATTCCAGGACCCCGCCAGCTACTTGGCTCGAGCTTCTGATCACCTGAACGCCAGTAGTGCGCCCAATCACCTGGATAGAACTGCCTAGCCTCAGATCGGCTTTTCGCTCATCAAGGCTTTACTTGCTTCGTAAAAGGCTTTTGCTGCAGTGAGGCGAAATTGTCGCAACTCCTGGTATGCCTTGGTGGGTTCCGCTGGATTGGTCATAGGTTCATCTATAAGTGCCTTGTCTACCGAAGTTCTTCCGAAAACTGTCTGAGCTGGAGAGGACCCGTGGATGCTGCGCAATTGATTGCGAAGAGAGCAAGCAACCGGAACCAGTTGTTCTAATGAGGCTTCTGGCTTGTCTTGCTGCCAAGGCGGTAGTGTGCCTCGTGGGCGTCAATTCCAGTGAGATCCTCCTGCCTCTGTTCTCAGCTCAGTGGGGACAGCAAATCCATCTATCCAAGCATCGAGGATTCGCAACTTT